TTAGATTATTAATCGATTATAATGGCACTATTTTAATCAGGTTCTAATCGGATTTTTTGTTTGAAAATAATCAATTATAATCAATTAAATAATTTTATTAATTATAATGGATTATTTTTGAGGAAAAAATCCAATTAGAATCTGATTAAAATAGTGCCATTATAATCGATTATTAATCATGCTGTAATCGATTATACTCCGATTATTTGTACTCATTTTTTTACATGGGAATTCAGACTTGAAACTGTTTTTTGTGTCCAATTAAAATAATAATTTGAAAAAAATTTTTCTTTCGATCTTTATAGACCTTCTATTTCTAAGTTATTTCGGTTTAGCCCGGATTCGTCCCCTTTTTAATTATTCCGAATTCGTCCCCCAAATTTCGATTCCGAATTGGTCCCCATCAAAAAGTAGGCCTCAATTATTTTTTCCAAATTCGTCCCCAATGAAAAACCACTCCCTTTTTTTTTACCTAATTCGTTCCCCATGAAAAATCATTCAATTTTTTTTTTATACCTAATTCGTCCCCACTTTATTTAACAGTTCACAATTTCTTTTTTTTACCTAATTCGTCCCCACTTCATTTAACAGTCGGATTCGCATACTTTTGTCTGTCTATATCAACAGCTAGTGGCACCAAGAGTCGGATCCATTTCGTAGCCAATGGGAAGAATACTTATTTTGAGTCAATAAGAACAGCTGACTCATCAATAATTTTTTTTCATATACGTTTATCATCAATAATTATATTGAAAAATGCTACATTTTACTTCAACTGAACGGACAGGAAAGGTGTTAAACTATAAAGGTTTTCAATACACTCTGAAACGTGAACGAAAAACAGTAGTAGAGTGGCAATGTCGTTCACAAAATTGCTCAAGTACACTTTCTTTATCTCGCGATAATACTGTGATTGCTCGTGAACCAAGTGAACATATTGCATCTTGCTTATCTACACCGAGTAAAATAGTTATGGATGAAGCACTGAATAAAATGAAAAAAAGAGCAAGAGAAGAAAACGATATGATGATGTTGATGTTCTTCTACAAGATTTATTGAAACAGTTCTCTGATGGAGAAATAAGTCAAATGGATTTAACCATTAAATGTGGTTTAGCTTTTAAGGCTACTTATTTTAAATAATGGCTTCTATTTTATTTTTTCATCTCTTCTATTTGTATAATTTTTTGTATTTTCTTATGCCGGTGAAGAAAAAAGTTGATATTTATTTCGTGATGTTATGATAAAAGATGTCTTTCTTTCTTAATAAAACTATACTATGTAATACATTTCTTGAAAAATGAGACGTTAATTTAATCAGGGGATGAATCTAGAGGGGGACGAATCGAGAAGGGGACGAATCTAGAGTGGGGACGAATCTGGGATGGGGACGAATCCGGTAAAAAAATAGAGGGGACGAATTCGGAAGGTTTTCACGAGAGTAAAAATAAGCAGGAGACGAAATCGGAAACAATTAAGGAAAGACGAGTAAACGGGGGACGAATCAGGGGTAGCCCGTTATTTCCTCCCAATAACATTATGATATATGTTCTATTTCAATATTGAGAAAACTGTAATAATTAACTAATATAGTCAATATTAATAGATCCTTGACATTTATCATAAATGATTTTCAATATATATTTGATGAATTTCAAGTTATATAATTTTAATGACATAACTGATGAAAAGCAACTTTATCTTTGATTTAATTTAATTATATTTACTTTTCAATTAACTTTCTTTAAGTTAATACTTTTGTTTAAAGACTTTTCTATTAGTTTTATACGAATGAAATATGATAAAAGTCTAAGAAGAAAATTTTCCATATTTAACAATAATGATCATAAGTCAACTGAAAGTTGATGATATACAATCGACTGTAATGACAGATTGAGAAGTGTATCTTGTCATGATATCTAACTGTTGGATATGATCTTTCCTATCGATTGCGAAAACAGTTTGATTCTATCTCTCGAAACAAACGGATCGTATTATCTTCTCGTTATAAATAATCAGAACACATATCAGACATCGCTTCATCAATTCGAAGAGACTAAGCACATTAATGAAAGGTAAGAATGGATAAGCTAATTGTAATTTTGAAATCATTCAAAAATTTCTCATATATGTCAATGTTTTGTCGTATATCTATAACTTGGCTAATAGATCACAAGTGTTTTCTCTGACAATTTCAAAACGTTAGCTCCAATTGTTCGAATGAACACTTGATTCAGCAAAAAAAAATCTGAAAAAATAAATCTATGTGTAGTTTGATAAGTAAATATATATATTTATTATTGTGTATTAAATATGTCAACAATTGATTGTAATTCTATTGAAAATAGTTTTTAAAATGATTAAATTTGTCAATAAAAAAAATCTCTATTTATGAGTTCTCCTATATGTAATTTAGAATGAATTAATTTGAGAAAAAATAAAACTTTTCTTAAAAGAGGTTTGATGTCAATTTATTTAACTTGATCTTTTCTAAGGAAATATCGCAATTAATAAAGATCTAACATATGCGATAGGTCTTTTCGAAGAATAATTGACTGTCAAAAGAAATGATATGTCGCATTTCAAATAAACTTGTTTCTTTTATTGCTTTTCTATTTTTAATATTTGTCTTATTGTTATTTGCCCATTATCTTTTTTTTTGTTTTTCACAAATTCCTTTTTATATCATTGTACAAATCGTTTATTTATCTGAGAAATAAGTCTCTTTTGGTACACATTTATTATATGTTGATCAAATCTCAACATATTTATTAGCTCAGAAAAAATCTTATTGATTATCGTCTAAGATAAATATTCCATTAATTGATGTTTTTTTTTTATTAAATATTATTTGTATAACGACTACGGTAGATGAAAAGATCATATTCCATAAAACTTGTCATTTTATTATATGATTTTTTATATCTATCGAAAAATGATAAATTTCAACTTTTGAGAATATTGACAAAATCTATTCCAATAATTTAAATTTCAACAAAGAAAAAAACTTTGAAATATTGTTGTTAATCTCATTCAGTATATATATTTTTTCTTTCTAAAATATATGTTTATGTGAGTTCAAAAACAAGATTTAAAGAAACGGAGAGTGAAAAATCTCGTTTACTATGCCTTGAAATTCCCTATCTATTATTAATCAAGATATATTAGGAAAAAAACTGATAGTTTTAAGTGATAAAATGTTTGATTTATATAATTATAATTGTGTGATTGAATTTGATAAAGTAAGATAATTATAACAATATTATATTATTTTCTTGCCGTTTTATTTTTAGACATCTGATAAACTGAGACGAAACGCGTTAAATTCAGTTCAATACGCTGAATTTTGTCTTTCTAGTTGTAATTATGGTTCAAATGATTTAGTTCGTATTGGTAAAAATCTTGTATCTTTTCTTGGAAGTTATTTTCCATATCTGGAAACATTGCATCTTTGGTGACCAGACGATTTTCCTTGGACATCGAGTAAGTCAATGTTTCATGAATGAATTTTTATATGATTTTATTTTAAAATAACTTTTTCTTTTCTTTTCTTTTCTTATCACAGACAAATTAATATTTAGATTTAATCAATTCTATAAAACAAAGATTGAAGTTGAAAAATTTTCTAAAATACAATATGAATGAGATTTTTTTAAATAATAAGTATTCAATAGAATAAATAAACAGGTGTGGGTGTGGTTGTCAGTGTGAATCTTGTTTCGATCTACATCCCCCACATTTACAAAATTAGAAGATTTTGTAAAAAAATAGTTATTGCGAGACTCTTAGCAGTATCGTTGAGTTTAACAAGATTTTTATTTCAAATCATTTAAAATGTTTTGATTGAATAGATAGAATTTGCGAGTTATGCTAGATATCAGACAGTAGAGTATTATAATCATCGATTGAAGGCAGAATAGTAAAAACAGAAAAAAACCTTTTTCATTAAACCTGTGAATATTTATCAAAGATAATTATTCACAAAAAAAAGCAAAATCATATTATATATTTATCTTAGTAAGAACCGATTGAAAATGAAATACTTATCTTGTCAAATGATATATAAAACAATCAAAAAAGTATCGAATTAATAACTAAAATTTCTCATCTATTCTTTGAAAGTTTTTCGATATATATATATTGACAATTGATTCTATTCGATATTCAATATTTATACATTGAAAATAAAATTTAACACATAAATATAATTAATTGATAGCATTTTATTCTGGCGAGAGATTCAAATAACTTGAAATTATAGTTTTGTTCAAGTTGAAAACTCTTACTAATAGTTTTCTAATTATATTTTACAAATTGTAATAGTAGAGACTTTTATTGTGGAAAGTCACATCCTGAAAAAAGTTTGATTTTTAGTATCATCGTACTAGCAGGAACTTTTATCTAGCTCAATGGAATACAGTATAGTTAAGTTTTGGCCGCGATGATCAACTGTCTTACAGATATAAATAATTAGAAATGTTACATGAGAAAAACTGTTTTATATAAAATGTCATACTGAAACGAAATATTGTTTACTTTTGATTAAATTGAGATGAAGAAATTTATATCTTTGATGTTAAAAGATCTTCAACCATATTGACCAAAAAAAATGATTAAACTTCGTTGTTTTTGAAAAAGAAACCATAATTTTAAAATAATTCTAACAATATATACAAGAGTAGTTTGATATTTGAATAAGAAAAAAAATATTTTTAGTTAAAACATTTATTGATTATATAAATGAATATGAAAGTTATTGCTGTTCTTGTATTTGAGTTCGACCAGATTTTCGAATTGGACATCATTATCAAAAATGAACTGATAAATGGGCAAAATCTTTAACAACATCTCAATTAATTACTATGAAAATAATTTAGACTTTTTAATTAATAATAAAACTATTTTTTTTTGGTTTAGTTGAACATGTTTCCATCTTTGAAAATGATCTTTCTCAATTAATTCAACAATTAAAACGATTTGCCTTTCTGGATATTTCTGGTCGAATTGGTCGTCAAAAAATCGAACCTTATCGTTCTATGGTTCAAAAACGTTTTCCTAATAGTCAATTTGATATAACAATAATAAGATTTCCTCTTTGGTTTTGTTCTTTTACATATTCTATTCAACAGACATAAAGTTTACTCATCGGATAACTTTCATTGTTTTATTTCTCATTGTTAAATCAATTATAAAAAGTTTTTCCTTATTCGACTTTTATTGAATATTTATTTGATTACTTTTGTGAAACGCGTTCGAAAAAAAGTAGTGAAGTCAATATATGATCTTGGCTCAAGTTTTTTCAAAGCTTAAACTAACCTGAAACTGCATATGGTCATTCCTCTTCTTTATGACGTCTCTCAAGAATGATGCATCAAAAAAATTTAAAATTTTTCCAGCAGATAGATTTTGATGAGTAGAACAAAAGTTGTCAGAGAGCCAATGTTTCCTGACGTTCTCTTCTATGAGATATTGGACTTGAAACAGTGAAGCATTATTCCAACGTTCATCCCCGTTTCTCCGCTATGCTGCGTTCGATCGAGCGGAAATATTTTTTGTGAACAATAGAGGGTGTGGCTGTGGTTAAATATTTGTGACGTTTTTTTATCATTTGCACTTTGAATAAAAAACTCAAAATACCGAAGATACGTCAAAAACACAATTTTTTTTAATGGAGCTTTTTTCTAAGTGCTACCAAAAATTACAGAACAATCATTCTTCTAAAAGAAAAAAAATTCATTCTAAGTAGTGACTAGTGTATGCGAAAAAAGTATCAGCTCTATGGGATTTATTACGCCGAAGAAATGGAGACGTCTCTACAGTTTTTCTCATGAAAACTTTGATATGAAGAAAACACGAAACAATATGCAGTTTTCGATCTTTTGCTTATCAAATTATTTGATTTTGTTTCTCTGATTGTTTAAAGTTTAAAAATAATGTTCGGATCTCAAAGTGTACTCATCGGATAGATACTACTTGAGATTACATCATGGTCATGGATAGAAAACAAAAAGGCAAAATATAAAAAAAAATTTGACTCAGAAAACGGCAAGGCTAACTTTATAGATGCAGCAAACCAAAAGAAAACTTAAAATCAATTAAAAATAACTGAAACTATATAATACTTATGAAAAATTGCCTTATTCAAAATAATTTATCATCTAAACTCCTTTTATCTTTAAAGATTATTGCATAATAGGAGACTCCCTGAAAAAGAGATGTTTCGGATATAATAGAAATTGCTTCGTTAATTACTTAATCAGATATCAAATTTTAACTAAAATAAATATATTTAATCGAGGATGGGTGTGCGTATCCACACCCTCAAGATAGTTTGTTTTTTGTTTTGTTTTGTTTGTAACATCTGTTATACGTCCAGGTAAAGGTTGAAAATGATCGTTATAAAGATCGAAAGTTTTCTTTCATATATTAAACAAAAGAAATAAATCACTAAAAAACTTACTACATATTTTTCTCATTATTTTATATTGCATATAACGATTGAAATTCTTATAATTTTAATCTACAATAATATTGTTACTGCACGTAATAGCATCTATATTGTTGGCATTTTATTCGTCACAAAATGAAATTTATTTGTCAAAGATACAGTATCTTGGTTTGACTGAAGTAAAGTCTAATGTACAACAATGCGAACAAAACTCACAATTTCTTCTAAGATCGGCTATTGTAAAATCCAAATTGATTCAAATGAGAAAACCCTTCAAGTTTGCTGATAATGTCCAAGATAACGAAATCATACATAAACAATATATAAATTTAGCTTTATTACTTTATTTGTTCCTTTTCTTTGTTCTTATTTTTGCAGGTATTAAATGTTAATAAGAACAGTTCATATCAATCAAATGCAAACAACTCATTGGAAATCACCACGAATTCTTTCTCGATTTAACCATTTGCAATAAAGATATTGTTCAGAAAAAGGGCTTGAAGATTTTACCATTGTTCATTCGTTCAATTATCGATCTGCTATGAATCGTATTGTTGTTCCACATTACATAAAAGTATACTATATAATTCACAACGACTTAATTAATATTTTATCAAACATTGAAAGAAAACGAGGAAATTAACATAGATCAAACGATATCTGAACATCGTTCGACTCTATCTGCTTTACATACTGCAGTTAATGCAACTATTGTCCATTTCAGAGATAAGTGGCCGTAGTCATTTTTTGAATAATTTTTGATAGAAACGAGATAGAGATCTGTGGTTTTCACCGTTGGAAAGAACAAATAAAGACGCATCGAATCATATGTAGAAAGACTTTTCTAACTACTTTTCTAATGGTGTTACATAAAACTTCAAGAAAAACAGCATGCCTCTCATGGTCACGATATTAATTTATTGATTTTTAGGAGTACGCTAGAACCGGCAAGCAAAGATCTATAAAACTATATCAAGATTCTATTTCTAACTAGTATCAGTGAGATATCCAAACCATCAGAGTTCAATTTAACAGCTTATTTTTTTCGAAAAAATAATCAGAAAAAGGAAGTTTTTGCAGCATTTTCATAGAAAAATCGCTTTTTTAACGTAGGAGAAAAAAGCAATTCGTCGAAAACGTTTGACTAAAATCATTAGAAAGGTAGTTAGAAAAGTCTTTCTATATATGGTTCAATGCGTCTTTATTTGTTCTTTCCAACGGTAAAAACCACAGATCTCTATCTCGTTTCTATCAAAAATTATTCAAAAAAATGACTACGGCCACTTATCTCTGAAATGGACAATAGTTTTCAATTCATTATATAGTTTAGTCCATTGAAAAACAATAAGAAATCAAATTCGACTCACTTAGATAAAAAAAAATATTTCACAGACAAAACTCATCTAAAAACTTTAAATAATTTACGGAAAGAAAGAAATCATCTTGTTTAAACACGACTGTTGTATTTTTCTAAGCAACCTGTACCACACACAATTCACTTTTTTGTGTATTTTAAAAGGATCAGTTCTCTTTTGATTATTACCGATCTGAAAAATCATTTTAAACAAATGTATTCGACAGTAAGTGTTATCATATCTGGATGAACAATTGAGAATTCTTTATCTAGTTTTGTAAGAAATAAAATAATTTTTTCGAAACATACATCACATTGATAAACTGATAATATTTAAGGATATTGGTACTAGTTTACTTCAATTATCAATCACATTCTATGTGTTCAGAATTCATCTCAAGTATTAAGATTCGTCATATTAGATTTCATTCAATAAATAGTGACTGTCTGAAAAGTTTTCTTCTATAAAACACTCAATAGTGAAAATAAGAACGCTTATTTTGGTCTCATTGTCCTTGTATCAATTTTCTCTTAACTATTCGTTGTACGATGCTCAAAATTCGTGTTATCTGTCAGCTATTTTGTCGCTTCGTCGTTTACTTATTCACATGAATTATAACAGAGAAGAACGACACTCATGCTTACAATCCAGATGAATTAATAGAACATAATCACTATAACAGCTGCATCATATTCATGGATGCGTTAGTGACGATGCATTGGGATTTTATCAGAAGAATTTTTGATACTTTTTACAAAAGTTTTCTACTTTTTTTTGGAACGTATAGTCTATTATAGTATTGATTAAAAAGAAAAGAGGCCGACTATACGAAGCCAACACATGTCTTTTGTATTCTATTACGAACAGAAAAGATTTTATAAAAAGTCAAATTTTGAAGCGCGTATTTCATTATGAAATTCATGTTAATTCTATTTTCGTAACTTATTTCGAATTTGTCTTTTTTTTTTCAATAAATTAGTGTGACGATTTCATCGACAACAATCAACGTAATTTCTTATCGTCTGATTCGGAATAACATGGATCATGCCATATTGTACTATTTCGAAAATTTATTCAAAATGAATTTCGAATAAAAGTATTTCATATTTTATTCGTTCAGTTTTATCATTAAGGCTTCATCAATTGATTTTGCTGATTTTCTTTCACCATAGCCTACTTCGATTTTCACTAATTAAGACTAGTTCATTCTAATCGTGATATCTGATAAAAATCTAGTCATCTGATGATAATGATTATCAAAGCATTGTTTTATCGCATAAATTATTAAAAATCATATATTTGAAAAATACCAAAAGGTCATTCTTTAACGATGAAATCACAGTTATTATAAATATCTATATTTCATTTTGCTCTATATGATTATTTTTCGATGAGTGATATTCATGTATGAATAAATTTTGCATAATTTTTAACGAAGTAAATCACATATTCTATAGACAACTTTGCAAAATTTTTTTATCATTCGATAAGATCATATTTTTAAATCTCGAAATAATGAAATTATTTCAGTATTTTATAGGAGCATTAATGATTCAACTTTTCAGAAATGATTTTCTGTAGTTTGATTATACTGAAAGTTTCTCCACACATGGAATTTATACTGTGATATTTCTTTTAAATATAGAGCCAGTTAAAAGAACTGATATTTTCATATGTATGTGTCTATGAGAAAAGAACTTATTCCGAAACGTAAATTTTATAAAGAATCCCACTGATTATATTTTATAATATATAATCTAAAAAATGTTTTTTTCATTTTCTATCATTTAGTTAAATTTCAAACCAAATATATGTATATTTTCATATTGATTGACTTCTAATTATACAATGTTTTTTATTTTATTCTATGTCATTTTCTGGGGATCCTCTCGATTCGTCCCAAATTAGTCAATTAGTCGATGCTGCTCTAAAATATTTTTCTTAATTCGTCCCTTACATAAATATATCATTATTAATTGATTCTCAATTCGTCCCTTCCATGATGGCTGTTGTATAGTGATCGTATCATTATATGTCGTACAATATCTACTTTTTTCTTCGTTTTGTCTTACGTATCTCATGATCTTTATTCTTCTTTATCTCGTAAGTATCGAACGATCTTTTTCTTTTTTTTACTGGTTAAAGTAATTATATAACTTTTCATGCGTATCGGGTGATGCCTCGCATAATCATTCTATTAGCTCCATAATGATGCTACCATTACGAAAAGAGCACTGTATTCACGAACAATAACTTGGCAGTACCCTGGTCTCTTTGTTTGCGTGTATACAGGCCCATGTTTTCAGCGAAATATATTCATAATCTATCGATCACATCGTATTTGACTTAATATGATTCGATTCACATTATCTGAACGCGGTGGAAACGTTTGCTTTCAAGACGCAACTATTCAAAAAGTGACAATAGAAATCTATACTTCGTTATACTTGATACTGTACTGTAACTTTTTTTTTGATAAAGCTCTAAGATACAAAAATACATTACTGCTTAATTTCTAACCAATTAGGGACGAATTGAGAATCAATTAAGAATGGTCTATTTATGTAAGGGATGAATTGAGAAAAATATTTTAGAGCAGAATCGTCTAATTGACTAATTTGGAACGAATCGAGAGTAAACCCATTTTCTGGCTTACATCAAAGGTAAAACTAATCGAATTGAAGAATATGATTATACTGTAGTTAACTGATACCTTTTTCTTTCTATAACTAAAAATTATCGTTTCGAACAACGAATTTAGAAGTCAGAGGCAGAAATCAAGTCGGTTGCGGGTGTGATATGACTGTGGGTGTGGGTGGGTGTGGGTGTGGGGTGTGGGTATGGATGTGGGTGTGGGTGTCGGTGTGGGTGTGGGGTGTGGGTATGTGCGTGGGTATGGGTGTCGGTGTGGATGTGGGTGTGTGGGTGTGATTGTGGGTGTGGGTGTGGGTGTTGTGGATACATGAATCGTAGCCAAAATTCACACACCCACAGCCACACCCACACACAGCCACAACTGCACCCACACCCACACACAGCCACACCCATCCACACACTATAGATCATGAAATATTTATTTTTTAAATTTCTTCAAAACTATACTTTTCTATTGAACATACACGTAGTTAAACATGCGTTTAAAAAGGAATATTTTTAGCTGATAGAGTAGCATTATATTATCAATCATAACAGTATCAACAAAATATTTCAGACTATAAATTACAAATATGTCTTAANTTTGTTTAGTTTAGTTTAGTTTATTTCTCCTCTCTTTACATACACACTTGACATACATACGCGTTCTCGTTTTACAAAATAGAAAAAAAGAAAAAAAAAAATAATGAACACAAAAAAATAAGAAGAAGAAAAAAAGAATGTAATTGATTTAGTTTTAACTTTGTTATTGTTTTTTTTTCTCTTGTGTTCAACCGAATTAGAAATATAGAAAGAAAATAAAGAAGAAGAAATCGTGATGAAATAATACGAGAAAAAAAGGGTAACAAGATAAAAGTTGATTAATTTTTAAACACTGGCATGATGATTCATCATATGATTTGGAAATCTAACTTGATGATTTTGTGGAGATGTTGTTGAATTTAAAGCATTTCATAATGATTGTCTTTTTTTCAATCGTTAAACCATTCATAGATGTTTGAAATATCGATGGAATTGTCTAAAAATTAAATTTCAAATATACGTGTCATTTTTTGTCTAATCAATAAAAAATGAAAAACTAACTTGAACATGTCGTAAAATGATCATCATACGTTGATCAACAACTGAATTGACTTCAATCGATGATTTAACAAATGCATTAGCAAATAATTTAATCACATTAGGTACAATGAAAATTATTTTGTTCAATAATCACTGAATTATTTGATTCAATTAAATCACACATAAATAACCATAAATATATGATGTTTCTTCCGTATCTTCATCAATTGGAAACCAAGAAAACAAAATTTGATGAAGCTACAGAAACAAAATAATATTTTTATTTTTATAAAAAGTATTTTACTTTATCGAGATTATCCAAACATAAATAATTATATTTAAATATTTTTCAAACTGCATTAACTGTATTTTCCGTTGCTATATTATTTTCTGGTGCATGACGACTATCTGGTGAACTAATCAATGCAAATAAATGAGGTAATGCTTCAGTAGATGTACGTACATAAATAGAACCACCATTCATTCCTATTACACCAAATCCATATGCAGCAGCTTGATCAATCTTGAAAGAAACAGAAAAACAAATAATCAGATAATAAAAAATATTAAAAATTTATTTCAAATGTTGAATCAGCAAGACTTTCAGCCATACATCAAAGAATTAATTGTACATAACGATGTGAATATACACCAGTAAATTGTATATAATATCATCAAATACAAATAATGATCATTGACGATCAGATATTGAACTTGTTGGTTGTATAAGTATATAAAAATGTGATGCTAATGTATAAAAATAAACCAAATATGAATATCTGTATATACCAGTAGAAGTGAATGAATTATATCTGATAAATGATTTAATATATATCAATAAAAATCATTCTCTTTAAGTATTTCTTCTTCAGTTTCTTCATTATAATCTTCATTGACGTCATTTTTCAGCACGTTCATTTGAACATTGAAAAAGTTTTATTTAAGATGATTATCAAGAATAAGTGTTAATTATTTTAATTCATCAGCTGTTAAACTTGATACATCTAATGTTTCACTACATTAAATTCAAAAATATTAAGTTAAGAAAATTCATTTGATTTTTTTTTATTTACTTTTCTTAACTTTCAAACCAATTATATGCATATTTTCATATTGATTGACTTCTAATTATACAATGTTTTTTATTTTATTCTGCATCATTTTCTGGGTTACATCAAAGGTAAAACGAATCGAATTGAAGACTATGATTATACTATAGTTAATTGATAACTTTTTTATTTCAATAACTCAAAGTTATCGTTTCGAACATTTGATGAAAAAATTACATAAGTGTTATTTGAAAATTTTCAAAGATATCTTTCACGTTATAGATATATCATATGATAACGAGTTTAGAAATCAGACACCAATATCAAATCGGTTACAGATGTGATATGAGTGTGTTTATTATGTATTGATTCGATACACTGAACACTGAACCTGATAAAGACTATTGGTGCCGATAAGTTTCAAAGAAAACAACAGATTTATAATTATATCGAGACGTTTTTTTTAACTCTTAAAAGACTAAGAATAATGAAGACAACTATAAATATAATACTTATTGACTCTCAGTGTATACTCATCATATAGTTAGAACACATTACTTTGTTCTTCTTCTAGAATTACATAGAACTCTTTATTGAAAATCTTGGACCTCACAAAAATCTTCAGGAGAAGAATTTTAAATTAAAATTTTTCTCATAACTACTTTTCGTTGCCACCACTTTGGTGTGAAATTTTCAGTCAAAACATATCTTTTGTTCTCGAGATATTGAATATGGAAGAAATTAGCAAAAAAAAGTCGCTTCTCTTTAGTCTGCTCTATTTCCTAAACTGAAACATATTTGCCATTGAAAATTTTAACATGGTATATACAGCACATTAGCTATTTATGCTGCATATCCTCCATATGATCTTCATTCTTGCATTTTTGAGCTGACAAAATACCATAAAATTTACTGGAGATTCTCATCAGATTTTCTGACACTATGTATGTAGTCGCTAGGATCGTGTAGATTCAGAGAAACTTAAGTTTTTGCATATTAATCCTCTTAATTAAACTAACGTCCTTTGAAAAGGACATTCGACCTATAACGGTTAAATGTTTGTTGAACTTACAATCTTGGAAGATGTTCCGTTTTTGCTTTTGAAACTCCCATTTTGCAAATGTGAATTGTTACCTTTGTTCTCGTATTTATTAATAATGTGATCTCATAAAAACTCGTACAGTTAAGTAGTTTGTTAAGAAGAACAGATCAGAACATAGGTAGTCGATAGTAGATGCAAAAAAACATTGGTATTTATTCTGCGAATTGAAATTGAATGAAGACGATTCGAGCTCGATTGACGATTTTCTCATTCATTTTAGTGTGAAACAGTTTGAGTTTCCTTTAGAAACAAGTTTATTTATATAATATTTACTAATGAATAATAACAATTATTTTTTGCAAAAAAACAAAATATATCGTTGATGAATCCTTATCCTTTTTATTTGTGTTGTTTCCCGACAAATATTTATAGCAAGGCATAAATTATCTACAGTTTTAGAGCTAGAAAAGAAAACTGTTTAAAGTTTTTCAGTGTCAGAATCGGAATGAAGAAGTGTGCTACTATTGATCACATTTTATACTTCATACATACTCTTCTGTTTTTTCAATATCTCGTAGTTGGGCTCGCAATAGAGAGTTCGTCAGAATCAAAAAAAATTTTTCATGCTAAATGAATGAATATAGTTTTGAACATTCTTTTCGAATCTATTTTGAGTAGTACAAAACAACAACTCTCATATCGAGTTGAAATTACCAAGAATCAGACGAAGAAAACTGGCTGTAACTGTTATCCAATATCCATAGGCGATGACATTCTTCATTAGAAAGAAAATATCATCTATTATACCATGGTCCAGTATTTGATACATATCAATTCAAAATACACTTTTTCGTTTGCTCAAATTATAGATCCTTTTATGTTTGCTTTCTTAACTTATTCAATTCTTAATCGGATCCCATATCATTATAGTTTAATCTCTTGATAATGTCTTTTTTGTTTATTTTTTATCATAAATATTAAACAAAAAGAAACTAATTATTTTGATACTTATAGACGATATGTACACGATTGAATGCTACAGTTCTCCAGTCAATCTATATGAAAGTACAACAATCTTCACTTGTAGTTGCTTTCAAAGATTTATCACATTTTCGAAGACAAATATTAGCGCATAATGCTATTCGCCTTTTAAAGAATGCCATTGATGCTCATGGATTGTCAAAGGAAGAAATAGCTACAATAAAATTATATGTATCTTGCTCTTTTCTTTATCTTCCTCTTAATGAAGCACTTCGTAGTGAACAATATGAACAAATTAAACCTTGGTTTCCATATCTAAAACTTTTTCATAATCCTATATATAAATTACCTGAACGTGCAGGAGTACATTGCCGTCTAGTAAGTGGTAATAACAACATTGATCTGTATCAAGTTGATTCATTTGTAACTTGAGTAAGTAATAAAAACGAAAAATTCTTTATTTCAATTAATATGATCTGAGTTTAAAAGAATCAAAGGTTATCTGAGAAATTCGTTAGAATTATCGCTTTTAATGAGTTTCTTAGTAATTAATCTTCTTCGATTTTATTTTTTTTTATAGTTCGATATTNCTTTTTCAAAGAAATTCTTTAAAATTATTTCTTTTAATGAGTTCCTCGGTTATTAATCTTCTTCGATTTTATCTTCTTTACAGTGGGATATTCCATCATTAATAACGAATTGGGAGGTATGTATGTCAGTTGCGAATGAAACAGCCATCGAAGAACAACACGGAACTATTTTCTGGATTACAACAACATCAGCAAGAGATTTATCAATTTTATCGTTGAATTCTACTGAACAAGAATTGCTTTTGTTCCCAGGAACTCGTTTCAAGGTTATGAAAAACAAGAAACATGAGCTCTTCAAGGAAATCAATGAAATTCATCTTATCGACACGACATTCAATGTTAATAGTGAGTTGTTTTTTTTTCTCAAAATAATTATTCGTATCTTTAAAAATAAGTGAATAAACATCAGTGCTAGCCGTTGAATGTGAATATTGAACAAATACGTAACAAACACAGATAACGTCATTAGAATAGAAAACAATGCCGAAATTCACAGGAGAGTCAATGCCAAAGATGTTCAACATTATAAACTACAGATATACAACATTTTCTTGATAAAACTTTTTAAGAGAAAAATAATTAAGCAGTTTCACTTTATTTTTCTCTACTTCTCCGCCCTGCTTCATATTTTTCATCAACATACGCTCTGACTTTGAAAAGTAAAATCAAAATTGAATTATTTAGACTTAGCTTATTTCATGCAGATGCTTCTCAGGTCACATATTTAAGTTCTAAAAAGTTGTTAGACTGCTCTGAAAAACTTAAAGATTTCGAGTGTTAAAATGCTTCTGATATTCATATTTCTTTTCAGGCGATTTACAAAAATCTAAGAGAAAAAAGTAAATGTAGATCTTTTTTGAAGTTATTTCTGTCAATCAATTAGCAATTATCAAGAAAAATGAGAATTGATAGACTAGATCGGATATGTCTGAAATTTCGACTGATGATTTTGACAGCCTTATGAGCAAAGTGAGGTGACAGCTCATGACATTGTAAATATTACAGAATAGATGAAGAAAGAGCTGAAATCAAGTGTTTTTTTAAATCAACTTAAAAAATTAATTTAAAAGATATTTTTTTATTGATTTTTTGATTTAGAATTGCCGTTTGTCTTCAGTCAACTATTTAATACAATCGAATAAAATCTGCTGAATACTAAACCAAGGAAATGGAAACGATTGCAAATAAAAAAAAAACATCAATCATTGTAATATAATGATGAATTCTGTCGACTAATACGTGAAAAATTTTCTTTTCATAAACAAAGTTTTAATTCATAGATTGACATAATGAGAAAATATTTAACATCAAGTCACAAATCGTTGACAGACAGACTTGTTGGATTTTTTGATAATGATAATACTTTTAATATACTGCTGATAAAAGTAAACAAATACAGCTGTTTTCTCTTTGACAAAAATCCGTAGATATTTCAAAGAAAAATTTTTATTTTAATATCAGTTTTTTCAAGTATATTAAGTNAAAATATATATTTATTACCAAAAGCTTAGTTATGATCATAGATAAAATGAAATAATAGATTCAATTTAATAGTTAATTTAAGATAAAATGTACAAATTGTAACTTTGACAAACATTTTCGTCAAAGTTGTAACTTTGACGAAATTTTTGTCAAAGTTATAACTTTGTCGACCGGTGTAACTTTGATACGACATATATATGTCTACTTTTACGCAGATCTTCTTCCATGAGGAATAGAGAACCACCTGAACAGCGAAATTTGACATCTCAAATAAAAAGTCGTGAGGTATATGCAAGAAAGCATTTGCTTCATTAGTTTATATTTTATATTGAAGGAACCA